GGCTGGAGCTGATGTTCCACTGCAGCTCGTGCTGATGTTTTGGAAGGCTGGTTTAATGCACAGGTACCCCAGCTGGGCTTAAGAGGTTGCTCACCAAGAAGATCATTTATGCATTTACTTAAACTCAGCAGAGGCTTCTGCTCAGCAGCCCACAGCAGCATGAGATAGGGTTGTCATCTCAACAGACCCTGGAAACCAAGCAGCATGAGATGGATGTAAATGATTTCAGACTGCAGCTGAGTAACAGCAGAATAGTCTTATTTTCTGAAATCCCAACAGTTTGTCTCGAAAATGTTGTCATTTTAAACCAGAATTTATCTTGCCATAGAAAAAAGGGTTCTTAAAAATGTTTGTGCAAAGAAAGTCTGTTCTGGCCATTGCCAGGCTGCAGCTCTGGCCTCATCCTGGCTTTTGGAGGGAGGCACAGTGCCTTTGAACTAAGGCTCCCCTCAGACATGAAGTTCGCTGCTAAATTAAATGGGATTGACTATCAGCTTCCAGTAAAAATCATAACTTTTTCAATCAAGGTTAAAATAGGAATAAGCCAAGGAGAGATTGGCCCCAACACCATACAGAGTGTTGACATACTGATAATATTAATGTCCCTGTATAGAGACCAAGCATTAATTTCTCTTTGTTTCTCCCAGTGTCTCCCACAAAAGTTATCTCTTTGCCATCCCTCCCACCTGGGTAGTTGTCATACATTCTGTGACCTCCCAGAGTCCCAGTAAAAGCTATCCTGGATGCAATGCTGGGCTCTTCTCTCTCAGCCTCCCCTTCACCTCTGGGATTCATTCCTTCTTAATCTCTCCTCAAACCTCAGTGGAAAATATATCTCTTTCCCCTTGCCTGTTTTTCTTAAATAATAAATAATAGCAGGAGAGAGAGTGGAATTGACTGGAGAGCTCTATTATCTGACACTGTGAGGCTTTTGGGAATAAGGTTGGCATGCACAAAATGCTGCCTAAGCCCTGTCATTGAAGGGACCAGGATGTCTGGATATAAAATAAACTTGAATTTTACAGGCCTGAGCATTTTTGTGATCCAGGGAGGTTTTGATTCTGACCAACATCACAGGAGTTATGGAGCAAAGACCAGGAGTATGAATGAGGGAAAATCTGCCTGGAAGCCTCCTTTCCCCAACTGACATATACAGGATGGACATTAGCTATTTACAAGTGATTTCATCACTATTAAAGGCTTCATCTGCCGTCTTGGAGCTCTCCAGATTATCTTACACACAATGAAGAACCAAGGTTCACTTTAAAATCTGGTTTCTCTTAGCCAAATTCTCCCTCCCCTTCTGTTTGGGTGACCAAACACTCATGTTTGTAATGTAGCGTTCCCATTTTCCCCTGGCTCTCTTTGTAATGTGGATAATTTTTTGATAAAAGAGCCCAAGTGGCTGTGAAAGGGGATCTCAGAGAAGCTGGAGATGGAGCAGCTAGAGGAAAGGAAGTTGTGGAGATGCAGAAATGCCAAGGAGAGGAGCCCTGCTGTGTGTATTCACACGCACACGCATGCGTAATCTTGTGTTCCCTCAGTAAATGTAATCCACAGTTTGAAATAACTCATTCAGTAGAATAACAAAATTAGGAGCCGAGTGCCAGCTCTCTTCCCAGCCCCCACAGCTGCTTTGTTTGCTTCCTTGCAGCTGCTGCTCCGGTTTGATTTTCCAAGATGCCATTAGTTGGGAAATGGAAGCAAAAACTTCCCATTCAGCTTGCGCTGGTTTTTGAAGCTCCAGCTTTTCCTTTTCCTTTTCACCTCCCTTGCTATGGGTTTTCAACCAGGATAAGGATGCTGCTGCTCATCAGGGCAGGCTGCAGCCTCAAAATTCCAGCAATCCCTCTTTGCTGCTGGGTGGCTGACAGAGAGCAGGGCTGGAGAAGCAGAGATGGGTAGGAGGGGAGATATCACAGTCAAGATTGAGGATTAGCAGGGAGAAGCAGAGATACTGGATATCAGAGGCAATGTGCAGGAGGAGCAAGGAGTGAGGGAGTGGTCATTGCCCCTTTGCTGGCCTCTGTTGGGCACAAAAACCCAGCATCACCTCAAACCATTCTGCCTCCTGAGAGCAGAAGGAAAGGGAATTGCAGCAGTGTCTGCAGGGCCCAGGAAACTGCAGGAATGGTGCAGGAATTTCCTGGGTGGCCGCCACGGCCTCGTCATGGATGTGGCTGTTGTCATTGTCACCATGGTGCCACACTTTAAGACTTTCTGACTGAGATTAAACCCATAATTCCAAAACATTTCTATTGTTATTCCACACTCTCTTCATTCCTACCTTTTGCTTCGTTCTCCAGCAGCAAAAGAAACCCACAAATTGCCACTTTCCTGCTTGCTTTTCATGTGAGAGTTTTGCTGGTTTATTCCCAGGTTTTCTCAGCTCTGTGGGGGTTCAGAGGACTGGGAAAAGCAATGTGCAATTGAGTTAGCAGGAGAATAAACTCAGGACAACTGGGCAAAGATGAATCAGGCAGGCAGGAGGGTTAAACCACTGGATCCTTGCAGGATGCTTGGTGCTGGTGTTGCTTGGGCACACACCCACCATGGCTGGGATGGAGGCTCTCAGGAGCCAGCAAGATGAACAATTATGCCTTTTGTGCAAAGCAACAAGACCCACTTCTCCACTCACCAGTCATGTCCCGAGAATCTAATAAAAAGGGAGATTAGCCCCTCTTTCCTCTCTCACATCTCCTTAATGCTGTCATTTTATTCACACTTTGTAAAGCAAATAAACCAGCAAATTGCTTGCTTTAATGAGCTGAAATTAAACTCGGGCTGCTGATAAAATGCCGTTTCTCCTTTCTGTTGTTGGGAAGGACCTGGCTGATAGGCAATGTATGGGAAATAAGAGAAAACATACAGTGGGAGCCTTACTGAATGCGTTTGAGTCATTTAGTGCTGCTCTTTTTCATGTCCAACACCTCCAATTAGATGAGGGAAGCTCAAGGGTGCTGTTGGGGAAGGTTATAGAGGATCAGCCTGGCAAGATCTGTGGGGAGTTTGTATCCGCTCCTTCCTCATGAATGGTCCCACTCCACAAATTTCCTCTGTGAGGATGAGGCTGATTTGGCTCTGCAGAGCCTTCCCAAACACAGGTTTGCCCAGACAGGGTGGTTGGGCCACAGTGGGAGACAGAGGGGACAGAATAAATGTTTGCTGAAGAGAATATGCCATGTTCATCCCTTCCTGCTGCCTGTGCTTGGCTTGGCAAGGCTTCCCTTGCCACAAGTCCTTGGAGGAGAGCAGGGAGATGCTGGAACAGGGAAATGCCACCCCAAAGGGACAATATAAGCCATTGCTCATGGCTCTGCAGGCCAGGAATACCCTCATCCCACACCCTTAGGGGCAATGCACATCCCCACAGGGTGCAGGAGGAGCTGGACACCCCTGTGGCAGAGGAGCGCTGGCACACCTAGAGAGAAAGTCTCCACAACACAATGTGTGTGCTGGGATTTTCACCCCAACAAGAGGAGCTCAGGGCACTTTGCTTCAGTCTCCCCCCACCCCATGAAGTGCTATCATTATCTCACAGCACCAGAGAGGAGGCTGGAGTGCAGAGAGGTTAATTGAGTTGTCGAACACCAGAGGGATGCAGCAGCAGACGTGTTTCAGTCTGGCACTGCAGCCTGTGTCTCTGTGGGGGTGGCAGGAGGGGGCACTCACCTGCAATCTGCCAGGGAGCACAGTCCCACCTCCCTTGCTGGCTCTGAGGACTCAGTTATGCTAAAATGGATTTGCAGGTATTGCCAGGGCATCTCAGGGCAGTGACAGCACACGGAGGAAAAGATGGCAGAGAGCTGATGTGAGAGAAGGTCTTGTCATTCATGTAATGGAAACACAGTAATGTAATGGGACCACTCACTGGTCACAGTCCAACCAAATAAACTGTTTCACTGCTTATTATTACTGGCCTGTTTACCAAGGTATAAACTGAATGGTGGACAGGGGTCTCTGCAGTGAAATATGCTCTCCTTTCCTGCTGGTATTGTGCTGGAAAAGAACCTGGTTTCTTAGGGACAAGGGTCAGAGTATACATCTGCCTCTAAACAATCAGCCCCACACAATTTTCAGGTGTGTAGCACCAAGAACAGTCCAGCCTGGGCACTGTAAAATGGTCTGGAAAACTGTTTCTGGATTTATACTATTTTTCAGATTTAATGAAAGAAAATTTGGATGTAAGATGTGGTCCTATCTCCTTCACAACTTCCCAAGAAACCTGCAGTTCTTACCAGCCATGTTTCCAACAGTTTCCATGTTTCCAATGGAAACTGTTCCAAGTTCTTCTTATAGCACTGAATGTTTGCTGGTTTTCCACACCTCTGCATCATTTCACCTGGGAGGGAGAGCCTTGGAGAAAGGCAACAAGCCCCCAACAAGCAGGGACAAGGATGCTGGGTGGTTCACAGTCACAGCAGTGGGTTTTACAGAGGTTCCCAGAAACAGGACAAGTGTTTGATGCTGGGCTGTATCCCAGATGCCACATGGCAGTGCATGCAGGGAGACACAGTGTCCTCAACCAGCGCCCCTTGTGTGGGCACTGCTGCTGCACACACCAGCACATGAGACAGTCAGGATTCCCCTCAGCAAAACTCTGCAGCATCAAATCTACATCAGAGCCAGTTGTCTAGACTTCATCTGCTCTCAGCAGAGAGGAACAGACACTTCTGGGGCATCACTCCTCTCCTCCTCAGGTAGACACCTAAATAGGTCAGACAAACGGTGCGCTGGATGTGTGTTGGTCTCTCAGCTGACAAAAAGTGATGCTGGACAAGGGCTCAGAGGGTGACCTCAATGGTCAGTGACCACCTCTCCTTGTGCTGCCAAACAGTGCCAGTGGCAACCAAATAAACCAAAGACTCCTTGAAAGGTGGTTGCCAGGATGAGAAGGCGAGTGCCTAAGTAAGAGGGGAGCTGGATGGATCTCCAACACCTTTGACTGCTGACTGTCTTTCCTTTGTGCTGAGCTTGTGCTTGTGTTTTGTTTTGAGCAGGTGAGCCGGGGGACCCAGCGGGGACAGCCAAACACACGGAGGCACAGGGAGATGGGGACCAGCGCCACGATGTGCAGCAGAAAGAAAACGAGGAGAAGTACTATAAAAAATGAGAGGAAGGCTTGTCTCTAAGCCTGAACAACTCCTCTGCACAGGCGCTTAACTTCATGACTCCCTCCTTGAGATGCCAGAGGCTTGGTGATGTGGGACCAGCCTCAGCCACCCAGACCTTGGTAGCAGCCCCTGGCTGCTGGCTGCCGAGCACCGTGGGCACCGAGCTCCGCTTTCTCCACGGACGCTTCCCTCCCGTCTCTGAGCCATGAGGAGAAGGGAGAGGCAAGCAAAGCTGCCCAAGGAGCACTAGCCCTCACCTTCCCAGCCCCTGTCCTGTTCCCCGCTTCCAGCAGACCAGGAGCCCCTCTCCGTGCTGCCCTTCCAGATGGCAGGTCGCCGGTGGGCCGCGACGTCAGCCCTCTGCATGTGCGTGGCGGCCGTGTCCCTCCTGCACGCCGGCGGGGTGCGGGCGGACTGCTGGCTCATCGAGGGGGACAAGGGCTTCGTCTGGTTGGCCATCTGCAGCCAAAACCAGCCCCCCTACGAGTCCATCCCCCAGCAGATCAACAGCACCATCGTGGACTTGCGGCTGAACGACAACAAGATCAAGAGCGTGCAGTACGCCTCGCTCAGCCGCTTCGGCAACCTGACATACCTCAACCTGACGAAGAACGAGATCTCCTACATCGAGGACGGTGCCTTTTCAGGACAGTTCAACCTCCAGGTGCTGCAGCTGGGTTACAACCGACTGAGGAACCTCACCGAGGGCATCCTCCGGGGCCTGGGGAAGCTGGAGTACCTCTATCTCCAGGCCAACCTCATCGAGACCGTCACCCCCAATGCCTTCTGGGAGTGCCCCAACATAGTGAACATTGACCTGTCCATGAACAGGATCCAGAGACTGGACAGCAACACTTTTCGGGGCCTAAACAAGCTCTCTGTCTGTGAACTCTACAGTAACCCCTTCTACTGCTCCTGCGAGCTCCTGGGCTTCCTGCAATGGCTGGAGGCTTTCACCAACATGACACGCACCTACGACCGGATGCAGTGCGACTCCCCGCCCGACTACATGGGCTACTACTTGTTAGGTCAAGGCCGGACTGGCTACCGCAATGCTCTGAGCATGCTCTCTTCCCTTTGCACTGGTGGCTCCTACACTGTGATCCCTCGTTTTATCCCCCCCAGGTACCAGGTGACCACGGTGCCCTCCGAAAGCCCCTGCTCCGAGGAGGAGTGCTCCTCCGGCGACGGCACGACGCCGCAGTTCTCCTTGTTCACGCCCATCGGTGAGACCGAGGTGCGCCCCAACATCCAGGTGAAGCACCTCAACCACAACTCGGCCGTCCTCACCGTGCAGATCCCCTACCCCTTCAGCAAGATGTACATCCTCTCCCAGTTCGAAAACGGCTTCTCCTCCATGATCACCAAGCTCAGGAAGAAGGAGGAGAACATCACCGTGAGCAACCTAGTAGCACAAAGAGATTACACCTACTGCGTAGTCTCTGTTCACCAGTACTCCAAGTACAACCACACCTGTGTCACCATCACTCCCACCAGACCCAACCGCAAGGAGCCGGTGCCCACCCCTTCCACTGCCACCCATTACATCATGACAATCCTGGGCTGTCTCTTTGGCATGGTGATTGTCCTGGGCGTGGTGTATTACTGCCTTCGCAAGAGGCGCCAGCAGGAGGAGAAGCACAAAAAGGCTGCCGGCAGCATGAAGAAGACCATCATCGAGCTGAAGTATGGGCCAGAAATGGAGACCACCAGCATCACCCAGCTGTCCCAGGGGCAGATACTGGGTGGGGAGACAGTGACCCGCATCCCCTACCTACCTTCTGCTGGCGAGGTCGAGCAGTACAAGCTGATTGAGAGCAGTGAGACCCCCAAGGCCACCAAGGGCAACTACATGGAGGTGAGGACGGGTGAGCAGCCTGAGAGGAGAGACTGTGAGCTGTCCCTGCCGCCAGACACGCAGGGCTCTGTGGCTGAGATCTCCACCATCGCCAAGGAGGTGGACAAGGTGAACCAGATCATCAACAATTGCATCGATGCCTTGAAATCCGAGTCCACCTCCTTCCAAGGGGTGAAGTCGGGGGCGGTCTCCACGGTGGAGCCTCAGCTGGTGCTCTTGTCAGAGCAGATCCCCAGCAAGCACGGATTCCTCTCCCCCGTCTACAAGGAAAGCTACAACCACCCTCTCCAGCGACACCACAGCATGGAGGCGGCCCCCAAACGCTCCAGCACCTCTTCCAGCGGCTCCATACGGAGCCCCAGGTCCTACCGTTCCGAGGGATCGGGCCACAAATCCGAAGCCAAATACATCGAGAAGACTTCCCCCACCACCGACACCATCCTCACTGTGACGCCGGCCGCGGCCATCCTGCGGGCAGAGGCGGAGAAGATCCGCCAGTACAGCGAGCACCGGCACTCGTACCCCAGCTCGCACCCGGGGGAGCAGCACGACAGCATGGGCGGGCGCAAGCCCTCCATCCTGGAGCCCCTGACCCGCCCTCGCCCCAGAGACCTGGCCTACTCCCAGCTCTCGCCTCAGTACCACAACCTGAGCTACACCTCCAGCCCAGAGTACACCTGCAAACCCTCGCACAGCATCTGGGAGCGCTTCAAACTCAACCGCAAGCGGCACAAAGACGAGGAGGAGTACATGGCAGCCGGCCACGCCCTACGCAAAAAGGTCCAGTTTGCCAAAGACGAGGATCTCCACGACATCTTAGACTACTGGAAGGGCGTCTCTGCCCAGCAAAAGTCCTGAGTCCTCACACAACTCGTGACTTAACACACTAACTGGACCAAAAAGAAATCCGCAGCAGCTATTTTTATTCAGACTGTCTTTGAAACAAAATAAAAATTAAAAAAAAAAAAAAAAGAGAGAGAGTCAATAAAAAAAATTAAAAGAGAGAACAAATAATGAAAAAATCTATAAATATTCTATATAATATATACAGTGAGATATTAAAATGTCCTCACGTTGGTGAGACATGCACCAAATTTGAACACAAACTTTGCAAACAAACAAACTGTGGAGTTGGGAAAAAAAAACAAAAAAAAAGTTTTGTTTCATTTTGATTTTTTAAAAAAATGTAAGAAAAAAGAAAAAATTGAATATAAAATGAAAATGAAAGAGCGGGCAGAGAGCTGAGGTCTGGCGTTTTCCAATATTGCATTGCATGAGTCCCTATTCCGTGATTTTGTGGATTCTTTGTGAACAGTTTGTGTTCTTCCTTCCTTCCCTTCCAAAATCAGCAGCGACAAAAACAGCAACAAAAACCAAAAAAGAGACCAGAAGGAGCTCCATCTTTTGGGCTGTTTTTGCAAACGGAGTCTTCCAGTTTAGACTTTCACCCGGTTGAAGGCCCGTTCACATTTTCACTCACTAAGAAGTTTTACCACACATTGCATTGTAAACCGAAGTCGTTAATTGTACAGAGAAAATTTCTATATTTGCAATGTTTGCTGTATAATGAGAGAGAGAGAGGAGAAAAAAAACAATACTACATCTACTAAAAAAAAAATATATATATATATCTCTATATTCACCTGTTTGTACCAGGTTTTAATCATGGATTTTAGAGAAAGAGATGGAGTTTTATTTGAAGGACTTTTTTGTTTGTTGGTTGGTTGGTTGATGGGATATCTTTTGGAGGGGGGAGTGTTTGGATTTCTAAGTGTTTTGTTTTGATTTCTTCCACCAATTGTCTGTGTCCAAGTGCTCATCACTTCCAAGTGCATTGACGAAAAAAAGGCTCATACCCAGGAAAATAGAATCCCTCACCTTATTCCAGGTGGGAGGAACTGGGGAGGGGATGAGGAGTGAAGGGCTCTTGGCTGAGCAGGTGCCACCATGCAGTGGGATTTCTCCTGAAAATCAGAAGTTATTGGTTTCTGCTCCTAAACAGATGTGTCTGGGCAGTGGTGGCCCTTGGGACCAGCCACTGAGGGGTGGGTTATCCCCCCACTTTCAGGGTGGGGAGCCAGTGATGGGTTAGAGCACAAAGCCTCTTGCTGCTCTGGGGAAAGAGAAAATGGAGGGGTGATTTTGCTTTTGACGTAAAGACACTCAGCATTTACAACCTGTCCCACACTGAGACACCCTGGGTAGGCCCTGACCAGCCCCTGGCACTCTGAGACTGGAGGGGAGGAGATGGCTCTGTGTCCATGGGTCCACCCAGGCATCCACGTGCCCCTCAACCATTGGTGCCCAACACTGTTCCAAGACTCCACAGCTTTTTGCCCCATCTCTAAAACACTCACATGAGGTGAGAAGGGAGGTGGTGAGGCCATGAAGCCACTTCCAGGCCAAAGGACACTGGTTTGTCCTGACCAGCTCTAGCTGAATCACACCCACCCATGACCAACAAAAAGTGAGGGTCTGAGAGCTGCCCTGCTCCCAGGTGGGTGTGTGGGAGCCCAGCACAGTGAGGTGAGGTGCTAAGCTCCCCAAATGCAGCCCTCTGAGGCCCTGCTGCTTGCCAGGGTTTTGTTCCCTTGCATCCTGCTCACAAGTCGCTTTGGATGGACATCCTGAGTCCTGATGGATGAGCACTAGGGCCCAGGAGCAAACCATATCCCATCCTGTTATTTCAATATTTCAAAGCGATTTTGACAGGTATTCTTGCAAAAGGTTATGTTTGTTCAGAAAGGAGCTGAGCCAGGAAGACACAGAGCAGGCTGGGAAGTGCACGAGTTCATTCCCCGTGGTTATTTGTGTAGACAACAAACTATTAGCAGGATTTCATAATAAAAGGCAGGTAATTTCTGCAGGAATGCATTCGCTCTTCCTCCAGCTCCTCCAGGTGCCCCAGATCCTGCCCACAGCACAAAGCTTCCCAGGGCTGTGTCCTACTCACCAGGCAGTGAACAGGACCGGAGGGGATTTGGGGGTCACCCCTCTCTTGTTTAGTGCCTCATGGCAGATCCTTCCCCAGATCTCAGCTCCAGCACCTGGACCAAACAAACCTTTCAGCTGGAACAGCCTTTCCTTGCAGACCCTGAGTGCCTCCTCATAGGACCACAGAATGGTTTAGGTTGGAAGGGACCTTAAAAAAAAAAAAACAAAAGACCTTGGAAAAGACCTTAAAATCATCTAGGATTATAAAATAAAAAGTCATCATCATTTAGTTCCAACTCCCCAGCCATAGGTGGGGATGCCACCCACTAAATCATGTTGCTCCAGGTCCCAACCAGGAGAAATAAGAGTTGGTCAGCAAGGGTGGATGATGGAAAAAGTAGTGGAGCCTCCTGACACTGTTTCATGGTTTACAGGATTCCTTATCAAGAGGCTGGGGTGCTCCAAAGTGATGGCAGCTCATGAGTTCATTTGGGCTCAGATGCTCCAGTCATTGATAGACACCCAAAGAACCCTCTCAGCTGATCTCTGCATTGAGGCCATTCCCACACCAGTTTGGAAAAGGCACCAGGACCATCCCCACGGGACAGGGAGCAATGTCCCAGCCAGTGCAGGGTGAGGCATCACTGTGGAGGCAGCAGCCAGCTCAGCTCTTTAGCTGGGGCCAATAATTTTGCTTCTCTGCCTCTGTTTCCTCCTCTGGAAATGCTTCCTTGTGGCACTGAGGGCACAGGCTGGCTGGGGAGGCTCAATTAATTAATTGGCTGTCTGTGAAGCCCATTTAGCTCCTAGAATAAAAGCTGCTATCGAAATGCAAAGCTGTTAGTGGTGTAAAACAGCAGGGGCAGATGAAATCAAAGCCTGATTCTGTTTTCACACCAGGATTTCACTGGTGATAAACCAACAGAGACCGACAGGAATGTGATACAGCAGTGCTGGCCTTTCTAAATTAAACACTTCCCACATGCAAACGGTCTGCAGCTGGAAAGAAGGAGAATTAGAAAAAGTCCAGGCCTCTCTATCTCTAAGGCATCTCTAAGGCATCACCAGTACCCCATTGGTGGTGGGGCCTCACCACAGGTCTCAGATGGCTCCTGGGTTGTTAACCACCTTCCAGCCCCTTGTCCTCCCTACAAAGCAAGGTGCAGTCCTGGCAGCCATGCTCCACATCCCTCGGCAGGCCATAAAATGAGCTGTGAAAAAAGCCAGACAAGAGAAAGGAAGGGGTTCCACTCTCCCCAGGACCACCAGCCCATGGATGAGCCCCAGAGCTGGCTCTGCACAGGGCCTGGAGAGCTCTGCCCACAGCTGCCTTACAGACCCACCTGGGGACAGAGCAGGGATTTCATCACCTGTGACCTGCTGGCTGTTTTTGTTCTTTGTTCTGTCTCCTGTTCAACCACCAAAGCTCTCAAGCTGCTTCTGCAAAGAGAGGTGATCCCTTGTGCAGCCAGGCTGCTCCTGCTGCCCCAGACTCGTCCAAAGGAAGAGGGCTCCCACCAAGATGAAAGGAGAGGGCACAGGAAAGGCATGTTGGACTGAAGAGGAGGGGAGGCTAGGGGAACAAAAATTCACAGTTCCCTGCAGTACAGCCATGGCCCTGGGCCATGTGGAAATGCATTCTGCTGATGCCCTTTCTGTGTCCACGCAACTGCTGTTGTCTCAACAACCTGAATTCAAGGGCAAACCCAAGGCAGCACTAAAGATCCTTCCTCTGATCCCTCCCCCAGCACCCCAGCAAGGACAGCTCTGGTTGGAGAGTAAATCCAAACCCGCATTACCCATGGCTCAGCCCTCACTCTGGCCCAAAGGACCCTGCCATGTGTTACAAAGCCTGGGTGGCATCTAGAGCCTGGATATTATTTAAAAACCTGTAAATTAGCACAGAAACATCCCTTTATAGAGACACGCACCATTTAAGGCCAGGATTCCTGAGGGCACCTGCCAGCCCTGGTGTGCACATGGGGTGTGTCCATCTGCTCCAAAGCATGGCCTGTGGGACAGGCCAGGTTCACAGACACAACGTGGAGCAGCACAGGGGGGCAGTGGGGGCAGGCAGTGCTGCCCAGCTCCCTCCCTGATGCAGCAAAGCACTTGAGAGGGGAGCTGGGGGCTGCCCCAGAGCTGGTGGGTGTTGGAAGTGTGAAATGCCCCCTCCCTGCCCAGCATTTGAGCCTCCTGAAGGATGCAGCTAAGTAAGCCAGGTGTAGATCCCATGGGAGGGGTCTGTGCAAAGGGGCCCTAAGAAGGGAAGGTGCTCCGTGTGCCACCGTGACCAGACAACAGCCAGAATTCATTGACTCTGCTCAAATCAAGCCTGCAGCGACCTGCAGTGCTTCCTGGGGCTGCCAGGGAGCCATCCCTCTCCCAGCCCCGCTGGTGCTTATGGATCTGCCCATGCATCAACACCTGGGTGATGCCCAGGCTGCATCAGCTGCACAGCCAGAGGCAGAGCAGAGCTCAGCCACCTCCTGCATGTCCCTCACTCCCAGCAAGCTCTGCTCATTTTTGAGGTCAGTCCTTCCCTCAATCAGGGCTGGGTTTGGTGAACCGAGAGCCCCAAACTCCTCCTGGTGGCTCTGCAGAGATCGGGAGCTGCACTCAGCCCCGGGCAGACACCACTGCAGCCGAGTGTGCAGCAATAAATCACCTTGCTGGCAGGAGAGGGGTCAGCAGGGGTGGAGGACGCTGTGCTGCAGGTGGCCTTGTGCTGTGACCGTGTTCACAGGGGTCTCAGGTTGAGGGAAGATAGAAGGATTTGACTCCATGTTTCAGAAGGCTTGATTTATTATTTTATTATATATATAACATTAAAATTATACTAAAAGAATAGAAGAAAGCATTTCCTCAGAAGGCTAGCTAAGGATAGAATAATAAGGAATGATAACAAAGTCTCTGTCTTGGACTCTCTGTCCGAGCCAGCTGACTGTGATTGGCCATTAATTAGAAACATCCAAAATGGGCCAATCACAGATGCACCTGTTGCATTCCACAGCAGCAGATAACCATTGTTTACGTTTTGTTCCTGAGGCCTCTCAGCTTCTCAGGAGGAAAAATCCTAAGGAAAGGATTTTTCATAAAATATGTCTGTGACATTGTGCCTTGGGAGAGGAGGGGCCCAGGGATGCAGCGGAGGGATGGGATGGGATGGGATGGGATGGGATGGGATGGATGTGGAGAGGCTGGACCACACCCAGGAGAGCGGATCAATGGGGTGATTGTAGCCAGCACACACTGCGTTGGGATATTTTTAGCACAGCCAGCAGAGCAGGAATTTGGGAGCCCAAGTCAGAATTTATTTGCATCTGCGAGTTCTCATCAGGGAGAGGACCAACACCAGCACCCAGCAGAGCCCTGCTGTGTTTTGGAACCTGCTCACCTTGGCTTTGGCTCCTCTGGGTGCACAGCGTGTCCCTCTCCTCTGCAGAGCCCTTTGGGGACAGTGACACCCCCAAAGCTTGGAGCTGTGAGTATGTGGATGTAGACAGGCACAGGATGGGCACAGAGCAGAGAGGGAAGGGCATGGACTTGAGGGGATAAAGGGTTTATTTGGGAAAATCACTGATCCTACCTTGAATGCACAGGTCTCGTAGCATGGCTGCAGCACTGCCATGGCCAGGCAGGTGTGGGCTTCAGAGGTGCCCCAGCCTCTCCTCCAGCTCCTCTCTCCCAATTTCCTCA